TGGTGGTTCATGACAAAAAAGAAGCAGGAGGGTTAGGGTTTCCCTTGTTTTCTCCTTTGTTTTAAACTTGAAGGCCCACTTACCCAATTATTTTTTTTGTTAAAACCAAACAAGGCCCATGGACAAAAAAATTAGAATTCTAGTTCCCAACATCACTAAACTTAATTATCTCCAATAATAGGAGTAAACAATCGGCCCAACGACCCATGACAATTGCCAAAGAAAACAAACTCTTTGTTAAACATAAATAAATAAATACATAAAAGCCAATAAACCCACAACAAACATCATAGCAGCTCAAAATAAAATGAAATAGAACAATTAAAGTAAATTAAAATAATTTCTATGAAAAGAACCCTGAGACTCGAGGGTAATCTAACCTGAGTAATACGGGGCGTTACAGAAATAGTTCAAATATGCAATTGTAGTTTATGCCACAAATGGTGACAGAAGTTGTTGTTTGGTGTTTCAATTATCAAGTAATTTTATAAAACATAACCTTTATGCTTCCTACCTGAGTGTTGATGGAAAATATGGAAGATACTTTGGGGAAATTGCGCCAGCCACAATCTGGCTAAACTTTGGAATATGAGTTCTACTCTTTCACGAACTGGTTTTGGTTACTATAGAGGCTAGGGTAATCTACAATCATATTTCTATGTGTGATTACAATCCTAGAAAGTATTTATCAACTCATTGTCATTTATGATCAAAGGGCCTATGTCTAGGATCGTGTTTTATGCGCTTATGTCTAAATCACATCCCATATTTGTTTCCTATTATTTTACCTAATTCATCCTTCTCAGAATTGGGCTATAGTGCATAAATCAATTTCCCCATGGTCAAATAGAAAAAAGACGTAAATAGAACTTTTTAGAAACCAATCCAAGATTACGCCAGGTGCAATCTGGGTGAATCCCGACGATGTTGAAAATCAAATCATTTTGGCTAAGGCATTCCACAGAGAGGTTGATAAATAAATTAGTGCATAATTAAAGGAAAGAAAACGTACAAAAACATAAAAGAAGGAATTTTCATTGATTTAAATGAATAACAACGGCGTACGAGGAGTTATAGCTTAACCCTCTCCTCTTTCGAGTGTGAGGGGAGTGTAAACTCACTTAAGAACTTTGAAAGAACATAATAGATGAAGAATGGAAGTACGAACTTTAATTCAAAGCAATACGATAAGTAAAACCTAACGCAAAAGCTTATGAATGAAAATTACAGCTAAGAATGGAATAAATGAAGATGAAAATAGGATGGAAAGAGATGATTTGCTACTGGGAGAGAGGCTCCCTTTTATAGACCCTGAAGTTGGTTGAACTTCCCACAATTTTAGGGGGAAATGAGTTGAGATTCTCTAAACAAACCCTCATTTGTTGGGTGTGTGTCCTAAACTCGTAGTTTGTATTATGTAAAAACAAATTTATATTCAATAAAGTTTTATTCAATCAATTTGTTGTTGAATTCATAGCATTGCATTGTTTAAATCTAATAAACTAAACATCCAAGGTTATTATAATGTAACCGGGATAGTATATATACCAGGTATATATTTGACATATCCTCGATATACATGTGGATAATGTCCTGAGAATAATCTAAAGGGTCTATAGTATATGGATAAGGCTGAGTACCTTATCCTGGCAACACTATGGATACAACCTACTTTGTAAATGTTACAAACGACCTGATCCAGGTCGTTCGTGTGGAGACATGCGAGTGAGGGTATCATATACAATGAGTTTGTATAAGACCAGACCACGAAATAGTCGATCTTTAGATGTAACGCTGTTGACTAACAGATTGCTATTTCATAGAATGACCAGACAACTTATTCTCAATCTTGAATGAGTTATGGACTCCTGCCCGTGAGGGCTCGTCCTTTGATCTGTATGGGTGAGAGTGGTCCGAGTTCCCGACTCAATATTCCTACCATTTTGGGGACGAGATCCAGTTGTGAGCTGGGAACATAACTTCGAGTGATGGAATTCACTTCTCTCCAACTTTCGAGGAGTAGATGAATGTTCTCTTAAATGTTGACTCGACTTGAACAAGGGGCCCACCCTCACACTGTCCTAAGAGGGACTTCCGATTATTGGTCGGACCATAATCGGATTGTTCATTAGAGGATTGGCGGTACTTAAGGTAAAAGATGTAACAAATGGGTAAAATGGTAATTTGACCCATCTGTGGTTACGAACACTCGTGAAGGATTGACTTGTCATTAATGGTCGATATCCGTGGACATAGAAATATTCTATCGTGAGAAGAGTTCAACTGTGGGTTTTTAGTGGAGTAACCAGTAGTTAACGTATGTTAATTAGGGTGGTTAATGAGTTTAATCGATTAATATCGTAACGTTGGAACTTCTAATCTATAGGTCTATTAGGTCTCCTTACTAGCTCGTAAAGGGTAATTAAGAACATTAAGTCTTGGAAGGAATTTGAATTGTTCAAATTTAATTAAAGGGATTTTGAGTTAATTGTGTACGACACAATTTAATATAATATATGATGATACATACACAATTTAATATAATGTATGATGATACATTATAAAACGATATATTATGAGAGAATAATATGAATTAGATTTAAACTATAGGTTAAAGTTTAATGTGAATTAAATTCATATTAAATACCATAGGTTATGAGGGACAGTTATATTGATTCAAATATTAATTAAATGTGATTTAATTAAATTATGTTTAATTAATTAATTAACTAAATAAGATTCAATTATTTATTAATTAAATTAAAATAGGTTTTAATTAAATTAATTTTTTAATTTATTTATTAAATTAAATATAATTAAATAAAATAAAATAAAATAAAATAAATAAATAAATATATATATATAACCACCACTTCGCAGCAAAATTGTTGGGAAATGGTGAGGTGGAGAGTGGGAGGTTAGTCCCATTCTCCCTCCTTTACCTCATGCCTTCGAAACATAGAGATTTCTCTGTGTTTTGGTTCAAGGTTTTACTAAACAACTAAAAGGCTCTCTCACACAATTAAGGATTCCCATTTTGCTTTCCTTCTAAACAACCAAGATCCCACAATCTCGTTCTTATTCCTAGAGTAATAGTGAGGTAACTACGTGGTAGTGTCTAACACTTGGTTCGTGTGCACAGGAACATTCGTTCGTGTCAAGCAAAAATCGAATTCGAGGAAGAAGATCACGTCAACGGTCTACAAACGTAAGCTATTTTCTTATTCTCGTGAGGCTTAACCTCTTCTAATTTAATAGAAATGTTCTATTTTTAGAAAATCGATAACGTTTAATTTCTAATTCGAGTAGAATCATAAGCAATAAACTGCTTCCGCTTGGGTTTTTATCCCTTCAATTGGTATCAGAGCCCAATCGCGATTCAATTTTGTTTTGGACAAAACGACACTGGTTTATGATGGGTTAATTTCATGCATTTGATGTATGTTGTTTTGCTAGTAGGCGGTTTCAGTTTTTGGCATTTAAATTTACAAATTATGTTGATTCGATCAATGTAAGGGCCCGTTGTTTTGGGCGTTTTGTTGTAAATCGAGTCTGTATAGTCCGGGTCGTTCATGGAAAAGAGTTGCTGCGAAGAAAGGCTGGGTTTCGAGGTTTTTTGGAGCATTTTCGCTGTTGGAATAGAGAGTAGAGCAGTAGGTCCGTGACAGCAGCGCCATGGTGCAATCCTGCAATGCTGTGGAATTTGCTGCAGCAGTGCCACGACGCAGCCCTATCACGCCGCGACGCTGTCTCGGGTGTTTTTTCGACCTCCTGTTCGTGTGTTCGAGGCTCCACATGCATTTTATTGTTTATTTAAATTAATATAAATTAGATTATGTTAACTTAATTGTAACTTAGGATGCCAAAAAACTTAGGATGCCAAAAACTGGTCTACTTAGCTATTTATTTTATTGCATTATGAATGTAATTATTTTATGAATTATATGTTGCATAAAGTATGTCATATAGTTTTAAAATATCACCATAGGTTAAGCATAATCAATCATCATATGTATATAATAGTTATAATGTATGATAACATGTGTATTTTCATAATTGATTAATGTAAATGTTATATTAATTCGATGAAAATAAAGTTGCATTGAGCATGTCATTACTTTAGTTAATATAATTGTTATATTAATGTATGATTGCAATGCATGTTTATAGTTTTAATTTCTTAAATTTCATAAGAGTTATAAAATTTGGTAGATAGAAATTAAAATCTATAATAAAGAATTGCATGAAAACATAGGGTCTAAGTTAATTAATTTTAAAGGGATTTAAAATTAATTAGACCTTAGGTTATATCTTCTAATATGATTAGAGGTAGTCTTTTATTTTGTTTTAACTAGGTTTAAAATGAAACGATAAAAGACTAAATATAAAATATTGACTATAAGGGAACCTTGTCTAAGGAAGGTTCTGTCTAGGTTGAGGTATTTAAGCTGACTACCTGGGAACCGACCAGGGGGTTGAATTAATCAATATTTTATGCATGCAATAATGTCATTAGTTTATTAAAACGTTTGATAAACTAAAACATTATTGTACAACTTCCAATATAAATAGATATATTGGGCCGACTAAAAATTCACTTAATTAATTTCACTTAGCTGGTATTTAACTAAGTTATATACCTAGTCTTAGAATACTAAGTGGGAGCAAAGGAGATTGTGTTATATACCACGTATATTTTTGATATACAAGGTATATATGACATACTTTTTTCTCTCACGTCTCTCCTTAATGTTCACACTATGAGTTCTATGCTCGATCTTGTGTCGTCCTAGGCGTGGCTTCCCTACGGAAGGTGTTTGCATGACTTAATATCGAGGTGAAAGTATTCATAGTAAGTGGGAAAAGGACGTGTGACAATACATCCTTCAGTCTCAACCATTGGTTTTCACTGTGAGATTTCATAGATGACCTGCATGTCGTCTTGGTGCAATCATCCCTACGAGGGTCCATTGTATGGAATCGAAATCAAGGCAAACTTCAGAAATGGATAAAGGTTTCTTAGATTTTGCTCCAATATTTTCCTTCCCTACAGCGGAATTATTGGGGCGGACCTCTGAGGTCCGAAAATGGTGGGTCACACTTACAGGAAGTTGTTAAGCTAGTTAGCAATTCCCTGACCGGATAAACGAGGACTAAAGGTTATAGGAATAAGAGTTATTCTGGTGTAATATTTAGTTGAGAATGTCTCAATTCAGTGAAGGAGTAGCTGTCTGCCCTACGGTAGCTGTTGCTCTAAATCACTGATGGTCCACTTCCGCATCAAGGAGGACTCCTTAGTGTGAGAACATGTTCTCAACCTGATGGTCCACTTCAACGTGGCAGAGTCGAACGCGACCGTTATAGATGAGTAGAGTCAGGTCAGTTTCATTCTGGAATCTCTTCCAAAGAGTTTCCTGGCATTCCGCAGCAATGCAGTTATGAATAAGCTGGAGTACACTCTTTCCACGCTCTTAAACGAGTTGCAGACCTACCAGTCTCTTATGAAAAGTAAGGGACAAGAAAGGGAGGCAAATGTTGCCACCTCAAAGAGGTTCCACCGAGGTTCGTCCTCTGGAACCAAGTTTGTGCACTATTCTTCTGGAAGTAAGTCTTTCAAGAAGAAGAAGGTTGCTGGTAAGGGGTCTAAACCTGACTCCACTGCTGCTGCTGCCAAGAAAGGCAAGACCAATGTTGCAGACAAATGAAAGTGTTTCCACTGCAACGTGGACGGGCATTGGAAGCGCAATCGCCCGAAATACCTGACCGAGAAGAAGAAAGCCAACGAAGGTAAATATGATTTACTTGTTTTGGAAACATGCTTAGTGGAAAATGATGACTCTACTTAGATATTAGATTCAGGAGCCACTAATCACGTTTGTTCCTTGTTTCGGAAATTAGTTCTTGGAGGCAGCTTGAAGCCGGAGAGATGACTCTCAAGGTCGGAACGGGAGAGGTCGTCTCAGCTGTGGTGATAGGGGAGCTTAAGTTGTTTACAAGCAAGAATTTGTATATATTATTAGATAATGTGTACGTAGTTCTAAAAATCAAAAGGAACTTAATTTCAATTTCTTGTTTGTTAGAACATTTGTATTCTATGTCCTTTAAATTAAATGAAGCGTTCATTTCTAGAAATGGTGTAAATATTTGTTATGCTAAGCTTGAAAACAACTTGTATGTGCTAAGACCAACCATAACTAAATCAGTTTTAAATACCGAGTTGTTTAAAAATTTTAAAACTCAAAATAAAAGGCAAAATGTTTCTTCTAAAAAAAAATACCTATCTTTGGCACTTAAGATTAGGTCACATTAATCTCAATAGAATTGAGAGGTTGGTTAAGAATGGTCTTCTAAGCGAGTTAGAAAACAACCCTTTACCACCTTGTGAATCTTGTCTTGAAAGCAAGATGACTAAAAGATCTTTTACTTGAAAAGGTTATAGAGCCATATAACTTATACATTCAAACCTTTGTGGTCCGATGAATGTTAAAGCTCGAGGAGGGTACGAATACTTCATCTCTTTTATAGATGATTATTCAAGGTATGGTTTTCTATACCTGATGCAACACAAGTCCGAAGTCCTTGAAAAGTTTAAGGAGTACAAGACCGAAGTTGAAAATCAATTAGGTAAAATCATTAAAACACTTTGATCTGATCGGGGTGGAGAGTATATGGACTTGAGATTCCAGGACTATATGATAGAACATGGAATCACGTCCCAACTTTCAGCCCCTGGTACACCACAACAGAAAGGTGTATCAGAAAGGAGAAATCTAAAGGTGGAGACTGCGGTTTACATTTTGAACGTAGTTCCATCAAAAAGTGTTTCTGAAACACCCTTTGAACTATGGAAGGGTCGTAAAGCTAGTTTACATCACTTCCGTATTTTGGGATGTTCGACAGACGTGCTCATGACTAACACAAAGAAATTGGAACCTCATTCAAAAGTATGCCTATTCGTAGGTTACCCTAAAGAGACGAGAGGTGGTCTCTTCTTCGACCCTCAAGATAACAGAGTGTTTGTATCGACAAACGCCACCTTCTTGGAAGAAGACCACGTTCGAGATCATGAACCATGAAGTAAGGTAGTTTTAAACGAGATTTATGAAGAGGCTACAAATAAGTCAATAAGAGTTGTTGATCAAGTTGGCACTTCAACAAGAGTTGTTGATGAAGCCAGCACGTTACGTCAGTCACATCCACCTCAAGAATTGAGGGTGCCTCAACGTAGTGGGAAAGTTGTGAGAGTTGTTGAGTCTATGTACTTCAATTCCATTTGGGAACTTGTAGACCAACCTGATGGGGTAAGACCCATAGGGTGCAAATGGATCTACAAGAGAAAACGAGACGCCGAAGGAAAGGTACAGACCTACAAGGTGAGACTTGTGGCAAAAGGCTACACACAAAGGGACGAGGTGGATTATGAAGAAACCTTCTCCCCTGTAGCTATGCTCAAGTCCATATGAATACTTTTGTCCATTGCTACATATTATGACTATGAGATTTGACAAATGGACGTCAAGACTGCCTTTCTAAATGACAATCTTGAAGAAAGTATTTATATGTCTCAACCCGAGAGGTTCATAGCTCAAGGTCAAGAGCAAAAGGTATGCAAGCTTAAATGGTCCATATACAGATTGAAACAAGCATCTCGATCTTGGAACATAAGGTTTGATATTGCGATCAAATCTTATGGCTTTGACGAAAATGTTGATGAGCCTTGTGTATACAAGAAGATCGTCAACAACACAATAGCCTTCTTAGTATTGTATGTGGATGATATCCTACTAATTGAGAATGATGTAGGATACCTCACCAACATAAAAAAGTTGCTAGCTATTGAGTTCCAAATGAAAGAATTGGGGGAAGCTCAGTATGTCCTTAGCATCCAAATTCTAAGGGATCGCAAGAACAAAACGCTAGCCTTGTCTCAAGCAACTTATATTGACAAGATGCTTGTTCAATATTCGATACAGAATTCCAAAAAAGGCTTATTGCCCTTCAGACATGGAATTCATCTGTCTAAGAAACAATGTCTTAAGACACCTCAAGAAGTTCAGGATATGAGACGTTTACCCTATGCTTTAGCAGTGGGCAACCTGATGTACGCTATGCTGTGCACTAGGCCTGACATTTGCTATGCAGTAAGGATGGTTAGTAGGTATTAATCCAACCAAGGATATGATCACTGGACTACTGTTAAGGGAATCCTGAAGAATCTAAGGAGAACGAGGGACTACAAACTCGTGTATGGCTGTAAGATCCTTATAGGATACACTAACTCTGACTTCCAAACAGACAAGGATTTAAGGAAATCCACTTCGGAGTCAGTATTCACTCTTAACGGAGGAGCGTTAGTTTGGCGAAGCATCAAACAAGGATGCATAGCAGACTCCAAGATGGAGGCTGAGTACGTTGTAGCTTGTGAAGCAGCAAAAAAAGCGGTTTGGCTTAGGAAGTTCTTGACCGATTTGGAAATTGTTCCAAATATGAACTTGCCCATCACACTTTACTGTGATAACAGTGGTGCTGTGGCAAATTCAAAAGAATCTCGAAGTCACAAGAGAGACAAGCACAAAGAAAGGAAGTACCATCTCATACGGGAGATAGTGCAACGGGGGGATGTGATCCTCACAAAGATCGCTTCAGAGCACAACATTGCAATCCTTTCATGAAGGCACTCACCGCTAAAGTGTTTGAGGACCATCTAGAAAGTCTAGGTCTACGAGCATTGTACGATTGGTCTAGGGCAAGTGGGAGAAATGTAATAGGTATAGTTTATGCCCTAGTTTCTTGTATTTTTCCTTTACTTTATGATAATGTACACCCCACTCGAGTTTAGTTCAAGTAGGAGTTTGTTAGGTGTGTTGCCCTAAACTCGTAGTTTGTATTTACGTAAAAACAAATTTATATTCAAGAAAATTTTATTCAATCAATTTGTTGTTGAATTCATAGTATTGCATTATCTAAATCCAATAAACTAAACATCCAAGGTTATTATTGTTGGGTTTTATGTCCTAAAACTCATAGTTTGAAAATGACAGATATACTTTTATCATTCAATAAAGTTGTTATTGAAGGTTTTAATCAATAAGTAGTTATTGATCCAATAAAATGTTCTTACTATATCTAAATCCAATAAAATAAAGGATCCTAGACTATTACCTGAGACTCAAACTCTATGTAAGAGACATAAATCTGGATCAAGTTTGAGTTAACAGTCTAAATGGTCTATAGTATAGGAATAAGGTTGGGCGCCTCATTCTGGGGACACTATGGATGCGGCCCACTTTGTAGCTAGTACAAACGATGTGATCCTAATTCGTTCATGTGAAGACATGCGAGTGGGGGTGTCCCGTGCAAAGAGTTTGCATAAGACCAGTCCATGAGATAGTCACTTTTACTTTATAACACCGTTTACTGTTTGAAACTGACTATCTCAACTTGGATGGCCTAGGTAACTCGATCTTAATCCTGAGCTAACTATGAACTTCTGTTTACTCGGGATTATCCTTAGATCTGCATGGGTGAGAGCAGCTCAACAGCGCTGGCTCAATAAGCCTCCCATTTCAAGGGTAAGACCCGGTAGATAGCTAGGGACATAGGGTGCAARAAGGAATTCACTTCTACCCAATTTTGRGATAGTAGAGAGGTTGTTCTCTTAAGGGCTGAATCTAGGTCTTGAACAATTGGCGCCACCCTCATCAAAAGGTTTGAGAGGATTTTTTGATTTGATAGTTGGACTACAAATCATTGTTCATCAGAGGATTAGTGGGACTTAAGGAACAAGAGGTAATTACAGGGGTAAAGCGGTATTTTGACCCAGCTGTAATTACGAACAACCTGTGAAGGGTCGACTTACCAATCATGGTTATATCAAATGGACATAATATATCTACAGTGAGGAGAATGCAGCTACGAGCTTTAGTGGAGTGACCGCGTAGTTAACGATTGTTGGTTAACTAGGTTAAAGAGTTTAACCGGTTATTCTCGGATCGTTGGAGCTCATGATCTGTAGGTCCATAAGGTCCCCTGGCTAGCTCATATAGGAATAAACTTGGAATAATTTGAAGGAATAATTCAAATCGTACGAATTAGGTTAATCATATGAGATATGATTAAGTAATTGATATATGATATCAATTTTAGAAATTTGGACAAAATATTTAAATAGGATTTAAATATTAAAATTATGAATGCGGATTCATAATCGGAGGCATGGATTTCATCAAACATCGGATTCTGGAAAAAGTCAAATAGTTGACTTTGACCAGACAAAGTCAAAGGTTGACTAAAGTAGATTAAAATAATGTTTTTAACCAAGTTGGTGGAAAATTCCACTAACTATTTGAGTGGAACATTTAAATAATCTCAAAAATCCACTTTTTGACACTTAGCCATGCATGCATAAATGGAATGTGTGTTGTAAGTTTTTTGTGAACTTAAACATGCATTTTGACACTTAGCCATGCCATGCATGAGTGAAATGTGTGTTGTAAGCTTTTGGTGAACTTAGACATGCATTTTGACACTTAGCCATGCCATGCATGAGTGGAATGTGTGTTGTAAGCTTTTGGTGAACTTAGACATGCATTTTGACACTTAGTCATGCCATGCATGAGTGGAATATGTGTTGTAAGCTTTTGGTGAACTTGACATGCAAGAGTTGCATGTAATTTGCCTATTTAAGAAGGCTTTTGTTCAAACATCAAAGTCTCTTGGAACCTAGGGCCATTTGATGTGTTTTCCAAAAGCTTACATAACTCCTTTTAGCTCCACTTTTCTCTAATTTTTTCTTTCACTAAAAAGAGTCCCACTACTCTATTCCAAGCCTTGAGAATAGCTAGGAAGATCTCTTGGTGGTCCTTCATTGGAGCTATTTGAAGATTTTTGAAAAGCTACGAAGGTTTGTATTTTTCTCTACTTATCTCTAAGCATCATAATGTATGATCATGCATGTTTAATCCTAGGTTGTATTATGCATATAGATTGTTATTTCGATTCTTGCTCACTTCCGCTGTGCATGTATGTATTTTTTCCATCAATTATAATGTAACTGGGACAGTATATATACCGGGTATATATTTGATATACCCTCGATATACAAATGGATAATGTCTCGGGAATAACCTAAAGGGTTCTGTAGTATATGTATAAGACTCGGTACCTTATCCTGACAACACTATGGATACGACCACTTCGTAAATGTTACAGACGACCTGATCCAGGTCGTTGGTGTGGAGACATGCGACTAGGGGTATCCTATACAATGAGTTTGTATAAGACCAGACTACAAAATAGTCGATCTTTAGATGTAATGCCGTTGACTAACAGATTACTATTTCATAGATTGACCAGACAACTCATTCTCAATCCTAAGTGAGTTATAGACTCCTGTCTGTGAGGGCTTGTCCTTTGATTTGTATGGGTGAGAGTGGTCCGAATTGCCGACTCAATATTCCTACTGTTTATGCAAAGCTTTGCACAACGACACTTTACGAACCTAGCTCGAACCCGGACCCCGGCTCGACCTGAACACAAAAGTAGACCTGCACAAGAGGGTAAACACTCCGACGCTCAAGTCAGTATAGGTCGGACTTCGTATTTAGTTCGAGGTGAGATTCAATACCTGAGTGTGAAATGAGGCCCTCTATTTATAGGTAGGGGATCCGACAGTATTCATGACCGACGGTTACATGTTTTTTCTCATGTCGGACCTGTCGGGTTCCGAGTAGATCGAACCCTAATCAGATCAGACGTCGGCATGTATACTTGGCCTTTTCCCAATGGGTGAACCCGACCTCTTCGGTAGGTTCAAGGTGGACCTGGGATATTTTAATCCTTGAACACCAGTAAGCGTCCTCCACGTGTCCGAGGTATTTTTACCCTTAAACATTGGCCGCCTTTCTGTCAGGTTCGATCTCGACCTGGCAGAGAAGTTGATCCGATTCGATTTTGGACACGTGGCGACTTTTAATTCATAAAGAGAATATGACCGTTGTGGAAGATGTTTCGATCTACCAGGTTGTCGGAGTACTCAAGTATTCCGTCGTTACGGATTTCGAGATGATCCTAGCCACTCGTTCATTACACGTGTACAGCGTAGAGGTTTTTCCGATTGACTATAAATAGCTCCGAAACTTCAGATCAAACCTTACATTCCCTGAATTCTTGGAGTTCGATCTGAAACCAGCTCGAACCTTCTGTAGGTCAGTCATTCTCGTTTTACTCTTCTTTTTCAAATATGGTAGCTTTCTTGTCTTCCCCTTCCAGTAGTAATAGCCTAGGTAGCGCAGGTCGGACTATAAGCAGTTTGCTCCCCAAACCAAGTGATTCTGGAGAGGACTTAGCTCTTAGGTTGGAGTCCGAGCTGGAAGAGATTGAGAACTTTAGGTTTTCGGACAATGGGGAAGATAGTGACACCTCCACCTCGAGCTAGGGTTTGGAATACCCTTCAAAAATGCCCGAGCACTATCTTGGACCCCTCCGTAGGAGGTTTAAAATTCCAAATGACATCCTCCTCAGGGTTCTAGAGGAAGGGGAAAGAGCTGACAACCCCCCAAGGGGGTGGGTCACTCTTTACTTGAAAATGTTTAAGTACGGCCTCAGACTTCATCTTCACCCCTTTGCCCAGTAGTTTTTAAACCGAACTGCTCTGGCTCCTGCTCAAGTGGCCCCCAATGGATGGGGTGTCATTTTTGCCTTAGCCATTCTTTTTTGGTTGCGAGCTCGGGATGAGGACGGGGCCAAACTTCTAAATGTTGACCAGCTTCTTGGGTGCTTTGAGGCCAAAAGGATAGCTAAGAAGCCAGGTCGGTATTATATGTGCGCAAGGAAAGGCACTGGTGGTATAGTCAAGGGGCCGACCTCCATCAAAGGATAGGTAGGGAACTGGTTCTTTGCCTCTGGGGAATGGCTGGCAAAGGATGAGTTAGGTCGTGCCTTCTTTGACGTTCCCACTAGGTTTGAGAACTTAGGTATGGAGTCGTTCTTGCTTCTTTTTCTTTTATTTTGTAACTTCTAATCTTTTAAACTTTTTGTTTCTCACATCTAACCCGAACCTTCGTTTGCTTTGTGCAGTATCAATCAAACCAATTCTCGAGCTCACTCAAGCCACCTTTGATACCCTCAAGTACAACAAGGATCACTTCCCAAGGGGTCGGAAGATCGGAACCTTGGTGACTGACAAACTGCTCCTTGAGTCTGGGTTGTTAGATTACAATCCCTTGGTGCGTCCGGTTGAAGCTTCAAGGCCAAACTCCGAGCTCGGTAAGTCGAACTCGGCCTTACTTCGATTTTTATTTTAACTTTCATTTCTGACTTTTTTTTTACTTGCCTTGCAGCAATGGTGTGTGGATTCTCCAGCAGTGTGAAACGCA